TTCCACGAGGGCAGCTGTCCGTCCCAAAAACACCGGGAGAACGCCTTCTCGAAGGTCAGCCGGATCAGGTCCTTTTTGGCCTTCATGGCCGGCAAGGACTCCTCCCTGGCTACCTGGCGCTTTTTGGATAAGGCAGAGCAGATCATCCAGTAAGTGCGGTCTCGCTGCTCGCTTGCTTCTTTCTGGGTTTGACATGTATGTATGCATGCATCAACCTATGACTGTATGTGTGTTCCCCCCGCAGATGGCCCAACGTCCTGTCCGCGTCGGGGAAAAACGTCACCACCACAAACTTTTACCTTAGGAATGTCCTGCAGTTCATGGTCTATTTTAAGGAGACCCCCCCGAAGTTGGCCAGGCTCTCCCAAAGCCAGATCACTGGTGTGATCCGGGCCGTGAGACAGGCCATAAAATCCATTTCCAAAAAGATGTTGGCCCACCAGCTTACGACAAAGGACAAGAAGTTGTCCAAGGTGGTGTCGCAGGAGTCGCTCAGGCGGTGCCAGGTCGGTGCACGGAAGGCGATTCCTAAGCTGCTGAGTAAGATTTGTTCACCTCACCCTGAACACACACTGCACTTTCTCCACCACATCACATTTTTCACTCGCTTAACCCTTTCTGCCATGTCCCCCTCAGAGGAACTCCAGGAGGACTACACCGTGCAGCTCCGGAACTCCTTCTACGGATATTTCAGTGCCTTTATTGCATCAATTTACGGGCACCGCCCGGGCGTCTTCAAAAATATGACAGTGGCGGAGGTCAGGGGAGCGGCCACTGAGGGCCGGCCTCCCACGGGCTACGTCATACGTGTAAGTATGACTGAGCTCACCTGGCTACATCTCTCAAGTGTCACTTATTAATTAATTAATTAGATTATTTATCGATTTATTTATTTTTGTAACAACGCATCGCAGGTGAACGAGCACAAGACGACCAAAGACTTTAGAGTGGCACAGATTTTCCTGGAGCCGGAGGAGTACGGCTGGCTCCTAAAGTGGCTGAAGGTCAGGGAGCTCTGCAGTCCGCAGGGGGACCGGGTGTTCTTCACACCAGGCAAAGGTCCATTGAAGAACCTCGTGCGGTACATGCAGGAGGCGTGGGCGGAGATGGGCTTGCCCGGCAAGCCCACCTTCATCGAACTGAGGACCGCCGTGTCTGCACATGTGAGATTCTGCTTGTTCGTTTAAATTCCACTGCTCCTCGTGCGTCACTCTGCTTTCTCACTTTCTCTCTCCTTGCAGGCAAAGAACGTCCACGTGCCAGAGGTGCGCAGCAAAGTGGCAAAGTTTGTGTCACAACACTGCCACGGCCGACCGCTTCCACGTCCTCCACCTAGACGTAGAGCAGTCACGTAAAATGAGGCGCCACTTTGAGGCCTCCACTCTGCCCCGCCTAAAATCTGACTCAACCTCAGCCCCGCCAAAGCCCAAGAAGGAGGTTTGCCCAAGAAAACCGAGAGCCAGAGACAGAGCTCAGGAGGAGAGTGATGAGGCGGTCCCGTACCAGGAGTCGGGAGACTCCTGCTTGGATGAGGAAATGTGTGACATGGAGGAAGAGGAAGCGGAACAGAAGGAACAGGGGGAAGAGGGGCAGGAGGAGGAAGAAAAGGAGGATGTCACCGCGGGGCCAGCATCTGTAAGAAATGTTTTAAAAAATTAATTAAATAGAGAAAAGAGAGAAAAATGAGAGTACTAAGCACTCAATATTCTTTTACTCCACAGACACCAGTCAAGACCCAGAGGGAGCTGTATCATAACCTGATGGTGCACCTGAGCCCAATAGAGTCAAGCTTTAAGGTCTCCAGAAGGGCGTTAAGAGCTGCCGCACGGGCAGCTAATAAATCAACCAAATATTCACCCAAAAAAGTAGTTTTAAATAAAGTAGTAGTTTGTTATTTATTTTTCGGGTTATTTGTTCATAATAAGAGCTGTGAAAAATTGGTTTATTGTTGAAAGTGTTATTTAGTGTTTCTTTGTTCACACATTTAATAAAAAAAGTTTGGTTTGCAATTGAAAACAATCTCTTGGTCATTTGGTCACCCTGATCCATTTTAAGTCAAAAAATGCATTTTTTATCTCTCACTTCCTGGAGTGTGTGTTTGCTATTTAGAACACTCTTAATGCACTTTTCCCACACCTTTAAAGCACCCTTCAACGTTTTATGGCACTGCTAAGCTAGGTAAGCTTTTTTTAACCACTTTTACACAAGCAGTCCGCTGTTTTGTTCCTGTGAGAATTCGAAACTACTAGAATGGCCTAAATGTCAGACAGCTTTCCCAGGAAAGGTTGGGCAAGGATAGTGACATCAGTCGGTGAAACCTGTTAAAATTCGGGGGCCAAATGTCACACATGTCAGGAACATTCCCTCCTGTCTGTCAGAAAGGTCCCCCCAAATGTCTGAAAACTGCTCCATCTGGTGGCCGAAAAGTGAACTTTGACAAATGCGAACCCTGCGGCCCAACTTTGGATTGTTGTAGCTCGGAGCACGAACGAGTCAGCCAGAATGTTGCGAACCCCTGCAAAACTACCAAAAAAGCTCTACGAAACTGACTGGACCAGCGATTTTTAGCGGAGCCCGTTATGCCCGTTAGGGTGACTTGAAAAGTGGAAGTTGGTTCCCTAGCCGTCCCATTCATAGGGTTTCGAAGTGTCGGGCAGGGCCCTAGGGGGTAGATATGTACATACACATTGAGAGCCGATGTACCAGAGTCAAATTCCTTGTGCGTCTGACACACCTGGCCAATAAAGCTGATTCTGAGATTCTGATAAATTAAAATTTAAAGTGAGGCTGCTTAGGTTTTGCTGAAGCAGTGTGTAGTCAGCAGTAGCCACAAGAAGATAATCAAAAATTGACTCCGTAATGACAGTTAAACAAAAATTATCCAAGGTTTGTTAAAACGAGTTAACATTAGCCACTGCAGTGGCCATAGCAGATCAAGGCTGTAGCACCAGCCAGTGTACTAAATAAAAAAAATTGTCACTGCTCATTCAGCAATTTAATTCATCAGTGTGACAATGGTGAATGCCACAACATAATGTAACAATAAAATTATTAGAAAACTATCACTATACCGGAAACAAATTCCTTGTGTGTAACATACTTGGCCAATAAAGGTGACTATCCTTATCCTAAAAAAAATACACAAAGTTACACACCAGTAACTAGCTAAAGGTTGTGTTGGCTTCCATACACTAGGCCCCCTGGGTCATACCAGACCACATAAGTTTGGACTGGCAAAACACTTAGTTGCATTAAACTGAACACTTTGCAATTCAGTTAAAACGCAGGATGGTTGTACAAGTAGAGGAGTCAGCAAACTGACTCAGTGATGTCAGTGACAGCAATATCTGCTTCAGGATGGCCAGCATTAACTGCCACAAGCTAAAAGTAAGACTATGGCAACAAAAACGGCCACAGTCATAAAGTTACTGAACAGGCTCAGTACCCTCACCACTACATCATCTATCAGCAGTTCTATTTACATGCTCTCAGTCTGCTCCTTGCTGCCAACAGCAGAAAGCACGGTGGTCATCTCCAGTGGCTGCATACACAGGGTTTTCTCCGGGTCATGTGTCCTGTTCCACATCAGGCCTTTGCGGTATGACAGACCTTAATGGGTAAAAGATTGCATAAAGATTGACTGGTTAACTGGTCTTGTTTATTAAGACTTACAATACTACATGACAGGTCTGAATCTGAGGGGAAGTCACCTATCTCTGTGAGCATCTTGAACAGGTCAGACAGAGCTCTCTGCTTCTGTTGCAGGATGTGCTTGACCTCAGCTTTTTGTTTCTGTTTCTCTGCTGACATGTCAATGGTGAGGCTCTGCAGGTTCCGCAGGTTGCTGATGACCTCGCCTGTAAAGAAGACACAAATTACATACGTTTTTTTTTTTTAAATAGAATATATTCAAAGTCTGGCATATTACCATCAGTGGTAAAATGTAAAGCATGTCCTGAGGGTGGTGCTGAAGGCCATTCAACTCAACAGAGTGCTTACAGAATCAGGGAGAACTGTCTAGTGAATGCAAACAAAAGCTACCATTCTGTCCTCATGTGGCCAAGATTATATAAAAAAAAAAAGAAAAAAAAAGTACAACCTTGTACCATTAACCACGCTTTCTAGCTGGGAGACTTTCTTATCCCTGCCATGTACTTGGTGCAGTGCCAGGGGGAATGTGTATCACACTGATGTGTACGCTCTCCTGTGCATGGCCAGAGAGCAAAAACTAAAAGGCGCTGTTCTCTCAGCAA